TAAAGTGCAAAAGCCTGGCTGCTAAGTACTGACTTTTACCCTCAGAGTAAGCTTTGAAGACTTAATACAACAGATATCTACATCTGTTCACATTAACACACACTCCCACAAGCACACACACCAAGAGAAATCCATTATCACCTGCTCTCAGTGTCCAGATGGTTGAGACACAGAGAGAATAGCTGCTAAACTACCAGTGTCCCCCAAAGGCCACTGCTGCTCTATAAGCTTGGCTGGCTAATTCACTATAAATGCCCTCCCTGTTCATGCATGCCAGTGTGTGTGTGTGTGTGTGTGTGCATGTGTGCGTGCGTGTGTGTGAGTGAGTGCGTGTGCATGTAAAAGAGAGAGAGAGGGTTTTGCAGCACTGCTTATGTTGCACCTTACTGTAGCTTCTGCGGTTTTTATTGCCTCTGGCTTCATCAGACATTTTAAAGTCGTCAACATGTCTCTGTCTCTTTCCATCGTTCAGTCCAACAGCGTTATATTGACATTTGGTGTCAAGTTAAGTACCTTCTTTTGACTGTTAATATAATACGAATCTAGACTACACACATTTTTCCAATTTTCTCAATATAGAAACCCCAAGACTTCAAGATAGTTTCAATAACACACTAAAATAGCATCTCTTTGCCACCTGTAAAAGGAAAAACTTCTTTAAATATATAACAGAGAAGGGAATTTAGGTTAAAAAAAAAAATTATGTCAGTGAGTAGCTATTGGTTTGTTATTGAACCATTAGTTTATAAGTACACTTGTCTTTGCCTCAACTATATAAAGAATCCATCTTCACCCAGTATATGGGAATTGGCTGATGGGAATTTTTCCCCAAAATTTAGGTACATGACCTTTTGTCTACTTGGTGGAGATCCAAAAATGTCTAATAGACTAATTAATTACTTAATAATTAATTACTCTTTTTCAAGAGTAATTAATTACTTAGTTACTTAGTTACTTTTTAAAAACACGATTTACAACCTGAAGAGGTGATAAAGCGATAGATCTTTCAGCCCAATTCTACTTTTTCTGCATAATCCATCATACAAAATGTAATCAAATGGAAAAGTATCTTTTTTTTAACCTGTTTTATCAGTTTTAATCTTTTAACTTTATGCATCAAGCAAAAATAAAATTATATGAACCATTCTCTGACTTGAAGAAATTAGTTTAACATTTAAACCTATTTTCTGCACATTCCAGCACATAAAATAAATAATATTTTTTTGTGTTTACACTCAGTCTTTGAAATAGATGCAAGTAAAACACAGCAGAAAATAAATAAAGTCAAAGACTAGCGGTCCTTTTGCTCTATTTTCACCTGTAAAGCAGGAGTGGGCTAGGCGGAGGTTTACGCTGGTGCAGGTGTGCCGGTCAGTAGAAGAATCCTCGAGTTTCTCTGTGAATTTCACTTTATGTCGTTACACAGTCGGTGCTTGCTTAGGGGGTTTTTTTCGCTGTAAAAAGAAGTTTTCTTCCCACGCACAACGGACACTAATGTTTTTGTCACTTTTTACGGAATCAAACTCAAAGTAAGGTCAGTACTTACATGCTTTAAACGCTGCACGCTCATACTCTCTCCCACACTCGATATATGATCCATTGTTGATCTGCACACAGCTGTTGTCATCAACAGCACATTCACTTACGTCACTGTCATGAGACGTTCTCGCAAAAAATCACGGTTTTAGTAACGCAGCGTTCCTATGGGAAAGTAACGGTAATCTAATTACCGTTTTTGCAATAGTAATCCCTTACTTTACTAGTTACTTGAAAAAAGCAATCAGATTACAGTAACGCGTTACAGTAACGCGTTACTGCCCATCTCTGCTAGCGACCTCTTGGCTTTAAATATAGTATCTCCCCCTGCTGGTACTAAAATTTGTGCACGTGTGTTCATTTCACTCTTTGGAGAGGCCTGAAGCGTGAAATGGACACGGTGGACCGGCCTGTCTATTACATGGTTTGCTATGATATCGTGCTGGGAGATCAGAGGCTAGAT